TTAGATCCTCCATCGCCTGTCAACTCAAAATTAATATCTATCTTGCTTACAGAGTAAAAAATTCCTCCCTTTATCAGTCATAAAAATACTAGCATAAAAAAGGAATGTATTGTTAGTTGTAGGTGAACTGTCGTGGAACGGCAAAGTTTTCAATAATTTATTTGATCAGCTAATCGAAATTCCCTTAAGTTAATGATATAGCTTATATTTGAAGAAAAAACTTCATCAGTCGAAAACCAGCTGATTATGTAGTTCTTTTTTTTTTTGTATAGATCAATAATAAGTGTAAATTGTACCCTAAAAAGAATTCTCTCCCTTTCCCAGTTGAGTACTGATGATAAATAGATATTATATATATATTTCAAACAAGACCATAACAGAGTGAGCTATCATTCCTGAGACAAACACACTGAACTATTTCAAACAAGACCGTAACAGTAACAGAGTGAGCTATCATTCCTGAGACAGACACACTGAAAACAACTTAAGAAAAACTGTTAACATTTAATAACAGCATGCAAAGTTTGAGCCAAAACAATTGTGAGAAAACAGGATGGCCAACATAGCTGTATAATCATATTCAACAAATACATAGCAAACTTGTTAGTTATTTTCTTAGTAAATAAAATAATGCAAAAAGTTTCACCTTTTTTGAGCCAGTTCATGTCTTTGTTTCTCCATTATGGCTTAAAATATTTTTAATAACATTGGTTTGGTCACATGTCAAACATCTCTACCACAATATTTTTTTCCTGGTTTTTTGCATGCCTCAGTAAATCTAAACAGTCCTTAAAATTCATTAAATTGTATATTATTATTACTATTTTTAAATTCTAAAACAAAGTAATGGTGCTTGTCCAAAATTTCTAGTAACAATTTAAACTTACTTTTGAAACTGTTCCATAGGGATTGAAGAACACAACTAATTTGAAATCAAATTAAATCTGTCTCACATAGATAGGACAAGGGTCATGAGAATCATGACCTTTGGCAATGTGTGTGTGTGTTCCCATTTAGTGGTTTTCAAATGATAAATGTAAAATACAATAATTTTCAATTTAAAAAGTTATACCTGTACCAAAAGAATAAAAATATGTATATTGTTATGAATGAAAATTTCTGCCTCACATCAAAGAAAACTGAACAAAAAACATAAAGATCCTTTTCACCCCATGTGTTTAGTACCCAGTTCTCATTAAATGCAGTATAGTCTTTCTTAAAAAGCTGTTCATTTGGTTGAACAAAAATGACGTTTTTATCCCCACTGCATTTTGACAGCCTATTTTTGTTAAGGCCCACCCCAATATTGTTTGGCAGTTGCACCAAGTTCTCATTGTGCACCCTAAAATGGCCAATGCATATAGACACACACAAATTTGAACCCTCAAAGGCCATAATGACAGGCAGGATAGAACAAGTGGAAAGTGGAGAACCAGCAGATAAAGAGTTTCTGGTTTACAACAATTGTCCATGACATGTTTACACCATGTCCTTCACAGTAATATAAACTATTAACATTTCACTGAGGCATTTTAAAATAAATTCACTAACAAAAGAAATTATCTTTATTACAAAGCATTTTTTGTTCCGTTTTGTTAGAAAGAGTTATTGTATTTGTAATATAAAACTATCTAATAGCATTAAGGATTTATTATGTTTCTGTAACCAGTTATTTTGAGTTAATTTTATGGTCTGGCCAAACATCACTTTTATCTGATTATTTGGTCATTTCAAAAAATTGTTATTCCATATTACAAATTTACAGATAGAAATTAATTACAAAAACTATTTACATTAATAGATTGGGTTACAGTTTCTATCAAAGGTGAGAGTGAGTTGTATGTTGTAGAGCACCAAAATCCTTGCACATACACTTTTATATAGTACAATTTTTAATCATAAATGGTTGATGCAAGAGAATATAAAGAAATGCCTTCACAGAAACACTTATTTCCACCAACATATGCATTGAGCATATTTTAAAAATAACAAATGGTGGACAAGTTAAAAATTATACTTAAAAATATTCCCTGATACACAATATGTCTCTACAAACTTCACTGACACATTTCTACTAGTATCTTTTATTACAATTGTTAGAAAATATAAAAGCTGAAATTCAACAGCTTCATGCCATCCATCAAAAAAATTCATTAGTATCTCATCTTTTCTTTCACTGTTGTTATAAATGAAATTACAGCTTTTTTCTCATACAGAAAAAAACAACAAAAAACTGTCACACATACAGATACATTACACATCTACTAACTGGTCAGGGTAGCGCAACTTGTAATCTGCTAGTGTTTTCTTGATGGTTTCACTTGAGTATTTGCACTTCAGAGATTTGCATGCACAAGTAAAATGCTTCCACTTAATCATCCAGAATTTTTCACCATAGTCAAACCTGAGGAATAGAAATTGTAATATCCAGCAATGAAATACCACAAAAATAAGGTTCTCAAGATATGTTTTAAATCACAAGATTAGGTATTTCCCCCATGTCCTCAATTGATTCCCCTACTAAGAGGAAACTTTATGCAATGTGTATTGAATTCCTGTCCCTACTAAAGGAACTAAGACTCATTCAGCATGATGAGAATATATATATTATGATTCATGTTGTGAGATAAATAAAGAATGTTGGAAGGAAAGATTTAAATAAAAAATGTAAAGCTTAAAAAAAATCTTAAAAGTAATAAATATTGTATATCTGAGATGGATGCACTATCTATTCCAAGACCAAAAATGTAGGCAGCAATCAATACACATAGAAAATTTAACAAAAATTCAAACAAGATATGCAGTCAGATGAAAATGAGTTCTTACTTTGTGTAATTACTTAAGTTTTATGTAAAATTGAATGATGCCTTTTTGCTAATCATAATTTAGAAATCAAGATGACAGTAGATAGTATTTCCGAGGTGAAACACTAGCTTCCTGGACTATTTGGGGTCATGATCTTCTTTTTTTTTTTTTTTTAAAACTTATTTTCCTAACTGAAGTAAAATACTTTAGGGCAGTGGATATATTAACAGTATCTTAGAGTCAGGACCATTACCATTTTGAATTACAAAAGTATGCAAGTGAAATCTAAAAATCCACCCAGCAGTAAGATTATTTTTGGTTTTGCTGATAGGTAAGTTAAAATATTTCCCATAAATAATGCATAATTTTAACATATTTAACACAAACAAAAGTAAAAATATCATCGTTTTTTTTTTGAGCAGTAAGACCTCACTCTGTTGACATTCAGTACAGTGGTAAAAAAAACCCCCATCAAACTAATTAACAAATTTTCAAATCTAATATTTTCTAAGAAAGAATATGAAAAACACTAAAATAGTTTGATAGATCAACTCACCCTAATTCCTCATACGCTTTGATCTCCTTAGATGAAAAAAGACATATCCTTGGGAAACGCAGGTCTTGATGCTCAACAAATACTTTCACCGGGATCAAGTTTGGTTCACACAAGTGGTTTATGAAACGACTTATGTTACCATACTTGCGAGCATCAATGCAATATGTGTCTCCATCCTAGTAAAAGCAATAATTAAATATAAAATAGAATATATTCACTGTTTCTATTTACAGAACCAAAAAGGGATATTTAATATAAATCATTTTTTATTTTAAAAAAAATTTATTAACCAACTTATTTAGTAAAAAAAATTATTACAATTCTTTTAAAATTACAAAAATTATATACCTCAATATTTTTTTATATTTGTTTAGGGCAGTGGTTCTCAACCTGTGGATCGTGACCCCTTTGGTTCGACCCTTTTACAGGGGTCACCAAAGACCATCAGAAAACACATATACTCTACAGTTATGAAGTAGCTATGAAAATAATAGTGTGGTAGGGGGTCACCACAATGTGTGGAACTGTATTAAAAGGACCATTGTATTAGGAAGGTTGAGAACCACCGGTTTAGGGCAAAAGATAATTAACAAGTATAGAAATAAATTTCATTGATACGTTTAATTATTTTGCAATTTATGAAATTACCTTATTGTCTAGATCAAACAAATATGAATCATCCTCTCTTCGATCAGCCTCAGAGTCAGAAATCAATTCACCAATATATCTGGAAATGTTTGGAAATCAATGGTTGTTAAATTTTAACAAATAAAAGACACAGTTTTAACGCAGCAACATGTAACAATTAAATTATTGTTTTTCAGAAGTAATTTTTAAAATATATTCAGAAAGAAGTTCTAAATTTCTCTGCAAAACTTACTCGCAAACAAATGTTCCCTTTGGGATATCCATCAATGTCCTTACACCCCAACCTCTTCCATTTGTTCTAAACATTTGCAATCGACATCTGTTAAAAGAAAGAATATTAAAATAATTATCCAAGGAAAACACATAGTTTTAACATTTAAGAAAAAAACATTTAGGAATTCAGCACTAATTTCAATCAAATATATTCTAACATGGGATTTTATGTTCTGATTCATGTGAAGAAAAAATTTCTGTGAGAATTCAGTCAGTCATCTGAGAAAACAAGAAAAAAAAAAACAACAGTATCCAAAAGAACTATAAGTTAAAAATTATTGAAGAAAGCCACTTACGTAATCCCATTCTGTACAACTCTGTTATTACAATTGACCCAACAACGACATGCCCTATTGCACTCAAATAAAAGGGGTGGCTCTAGTAAATTCACTTCTTCTAACAAGCGTCCCATCTGTACCAATGGATAAAACAAAACATTATAGTATCTCACAGTAAAAACAAATTCATTATAAAAAAATTATTGAAAAAAAAAACATAAGCAAAACCTACAACAAAAAGTATTTGCAGACTGCAATTAAGCTGCTTTTGGAAAGTGCTGCTATTTTACTTTAAAAGATAAGTCTTCGCAAGAAACGACATGGAGGCTGAATGGGCAGGTTGATCAAGTCCTACATCAAAGAGCACTAGGGGCAAATTAAACAAAAGACTGAGCATAAAATCATAAAAACCAAGAAATAATTACCTTATCATACCAACACTTGATGCTGCTGCGGCCACATACACAGTACATGGAAGAGCAATCGTCTTTGCATCTACAGCTCTGTAAGGAAATAAAATCAGACGTATCTCGGTTTCAAATTATGCATTTAAAACAATACTTAAGAAATTTATAAATAAATAATTTAAAAAAAAAAAGCCTGGAAATTTCAAGTTAAAAAAAAATGAATGTTAAGTTACACACCAATGTGAACATTTTGACACACATTTCTTTAATATCTACCTGCAAACTGGTGATAACATAATTTATATTCAGAGGACTGGTTTCAACATTCTCTATAACATAGAGATAATCAGTTGGGCACAGCTCATTGTCCTCTGAGTTGACACAGGCTATTGGATTTTTCTCCCTGCCCATTGTAATATCTCTGAAAAATGTGAAGACATGTTCTTTTATGAAACAAAGGTTACTTGCCAGGTATTCAAATGTTTTCAGCATTATAGACTGGAAAAAGTTTCAACTTCTTAAACATTCTATCTAAACATTTAACAGGTCAAAAAAATGACAGTCTATAAAGAAAGACACTTTTGAAATGCTGGCTTAAGCAGCACAAGGTAATACCTCTAAGTAAATCTGATTAATTGTAAGGTCACTTTAGGGCAGAATGCTGAACATTTATGAAAGATGTTTTCAGCAATTGAATAAAAATAAAAATTCTAACAATAAGGGATGTCAACAATAGAAAGTTAGGAGATAACAATGTAGAGATTCTGCAGGGTTAAAAGATCCAATCCAATATTGAATTACTAACCTTTCAACAAGCCTTTCTGGCTGTATCAGTTTCCGTGCAGCAAAACTTCTCAATTGTTGATTGACTTTCAGAGCCATCCACACTTGCCCGGTCTTGTTTACACAGCACTGAAATTAAATTGGAGGGTTAATAATTTTAACACAGAACCAACTTACACTTACTAATTCAGAATTCAATACTTAAGTATTTAGAAAAATATTATTCATTAGAATTGGCATTCTATGTCATTTTATTAAAACTATATAGTTACATCGACAGGTGTTTCATCCTTGTTGTTTCTTGTGTCAACATCAGCCCCTCTTGCAAGCAAAAGACTGAAAATATTTAAAACATATTTTAAAAAATGGAATTAATATGGGAAGATTATTTTTCTAAAAACACTCAACTTTAAATAGGGCTTTTTAATATTTTTTTTCAGGAATAGTAAAGACATTCAAATGTGTGTAGAGGTGTAAACTTAAGGCTGTTGATTTCTTTGTCAACTTAACTTTCTATGTAGCAAAAACATTATTAAAGCTTCATTTATCCATTATACATTTGTGCCTTTTATTTTTTTCTCTAAGCATCACTGTTTGTAACCCACCATTAACTAATAATTAGAAGGAAGGGGGGCAGGGTGTTTTAAACTCATAAATTATCTTTTTATTTACTTTAAATGAAGAAAATAATAAATTTCAATTTTTAAAAAGAATTTTAGAAACTGTAAAATAATTCAAGTAATATATAGAAAACATATTTAATAAATCTTAAGAGGATACTTACACAACAATATCATAGTGATCCTGTCTTGCTGCAATATGTCTGTAAAAATAGATGCATAAATATGCTAAATGATCGGAGCTATAAACACATTTTTATAATGGAGTAAAATCAAACAAAATTACAAATCTATAAAGTTTATTCTGTTATATTTATTGCTAACATTCAATATCTTTTATTATTTACCATTATATGAAAGTAAGCTATACAAGCCTAAAAGGAATAGGCTACTACTCACAGTGGTCTGTCCCCATGTTCGTTGATGGCATCAATTTCAGAACCAAGATCAATGAACATCTCAGCAATTTCTAAACTGCCAGAAAATGCTGCCCAGTGCAAACCTGTATTCTCTTCCTGCATTTCAAAACAAAATAAGAAAGATAAAGTCCCACTATATTGTCTATGTTCTCTCCTTAGTCTGCCCATTTATAAAATGTTAAGCAATCTAAGCTAATTTAGGGAATCATTCATTACTTCTATGTGATGACATAATGTTATCTCCTATACATTTAAAGTTCAGACAAAAAAATCCTTTACAATAATGTAACATTAATTGCATAAAATTTTTTTAAAAATTACTCCAAAATATTGGAATGTAAGACTGCTTAATGTTTCTGTCAGGAAGATAATTCTTAAATAATTCATTTCAGAAACTAAGGAGACTTACGTTGTCTTTTTTGTTTGGATCACCACCTTGCTTTATCAGGTATCTTACAACATCAGCTAACTGTGATTCTGTGGCCCAAATTATAGGTGTCCATCCACCATCATCCTGGATATGATGTATAAGAAAATAAATGCTAATTCTAATCCTCATCCAACAACTGGCAAAAAGTAAATCATGTTTAGATATTTGTTTAGATCAACATGAGATAATAGTGATCAATTTTTGTCTTTAATGATAAGAAAATTACAAAAATAAAACAGCTGTCATGTTATGTCCTTGTTAAGTTGGAGCTAACCTGAATATTAATATCTAGCTGTCCAGTTTCCAAAAGATGTTGTATAATATCAATGTAGCCAGCCTTTGCTGCATAGTGAAGACTTGTCATTCCATCTTCACCCTACAGAAATAATGCAATAATTTAATTATAATTTAAACATTATACTTAAAACATTTTCTCCATTCCAACCATTGTGTTGTGACCATGTGGACAACTGATTTGCATCCCATGTCAATATTAACTGAATCACAATGGGCTGACCAATCTATTATTCCACCTGGCTATTTGTCCACTCCAGACCTGTTTATCCTCAAACTCTTAAAATCGTACAATATCATCACAAAATCGTTCAATACCTTACATTTATAGTAAAAAATAAACATACAGTTTATATAATGTATACACCTCAAAATTGTACGTCAAAATCATAAGAGTAAACAGGTCTGCCACTCTCAACAAAGTTAAACCAGCTGATGACAAGGAAGACATACTTTTATTTTACCATAGTGTAATTTAATATTAGCTAAAAAACAGAATGGTTATTTCATTACTTAGTAAAGGGTCGTCCTGGACTTATGTGAGACTTAATATTATTTTATTTTAAGTGTTATCAAGTTGTATTATGAGTCAGATTGAAATAATATATATTTTATGCACACCAATCTACTTCCACCTTATCCTTTTCTTAAAATACATTTATGAACATCATTACAAAACATTGCATTTTTAAGCAGCCTTTATTTACAATTATCCTGTAACAAAAATATTTATTTATTTATTTATTTAGGCATTTTTATATAGCGCTTACCTTAAAGCTCTAAGCGCTTTACAATTATTAAAAACATGTAAACTAACTAAAATAAAAATGAGACATTAGGATAGTAACTACTATACTATAGAAACAATTAAAATGGCTATAAAATACTATCTAATGAACCCTTTATTACACTAACTTCGCTTTAGGCCTAGTTACAAAATTCAGTAGCATTTTTTAATACAGTAAAATATTTTGTACCAACCCGATCTTCCACCTTAGCTCCAGACTTGATTAAAAATTGAACCACACTCAGGTTGCCATTTTCTGCAGCACACATCATAGGCGTACGCAGTGTTTTGTCTTGGGCGTGTATTTCAGCCCCAAACTGTATAATTTTTTTTAAAAATTTAAAAATCAACAACAAATCGTTAGAATTAAAACAACAACTTCTAGTGACTTCTAACTCCAGCTTAAAAAAGGACCCAACATTAATATAAAGCCCACTTAATGAAATTACAATAAGATTAATCAAATCTATTAAAATAAAAGTTAATGAACTAAAACCAAATGGGCTGGAAAAGTGAATGCTTTTATATTCAGTGAAAAAAAGATATTTGAAAGCACTGTGAGTAGATTTACCTGTTCTAGAATAAAAACAGTTCCTAGACTTCCTGAAATGGCCGCTGCGTGCATGGCAGTCTGGCCATCATTTTCTTCATAACGTTTATTTGGATCAACACCATCCACTAAATAAAGAAAATCATTATAATGTAAATAGATTAGGATAAAAAAATGTTTGTAATTAAAAAAATATAGTTTAATTAAATTATAAAATACAAATAAATCAATCAGGAAAACAAAAACCACATGAATTTAAATCAAATTAAAAGCCCACTTTTTGAATTAAAAGAATTTAAGAAAGTGAGTGCAAAAGTCCCCTACAACCATGCAGTCAGTAAAATATAGTTAAAAAAGAGGTAAACAAATTCTTATCAATTGCTTATACATAGTCTAGCAAAATAATATTAATTTTAAAATATGGTAAAAATGATTTTGATCACGAGTAATAAATAAGAATGTAATAGGATCTTACAGAGTAAATAAAAGACTTTCTCCAAGTCGCCTTCCATAGCTGGTGTATATAGATCTTTTGGTAAAGTTCTATATTTTTTTGGTCTGATTGCAAAGAAAAGACAGGGGAAAATGTAACATTTAATTGGTATAAAACACCCTATACATAATAAAAAATAAATAAATCAAGGCTTTTAAGGAAATAGACATTTAACAAAATATGCCATTTCATTAGCGTTTAATTTAATTAGATACATTTTAAAATGACCCCTTTAACAAGGTCTTAGTTCTACATAAAGTGATTTTATATTAATATCTGTGTACAACAAATCATAGATATATCTATACTTTGGTGATTTGAAAGGGCAACGAGTCTTACAACTTTAAAAAAAAAAAAAAATTTATGGAAAAAAAAACTGAAAAGGGGAGGGGGGTTTGCACATAGGAATGAATTAATAAAAGCAATACCTGTCTTCCCCTGTACACCTACACAGTTTTGTGAGTGATTGATGATCAGGTCCTAACGCTAATGCACCTAAGAAAAAGAGAGGGTCAAATTTTGAAAGCATAAAATTAAAAAAGAAAAATTCTCATAGAATTAACCTTTTCTATTAATTTAAATTGTAACTAAAACAAGCAAGTAAAAAACAAACACTTACCAAAATTTATGGTTTTATTATTAGAGAGAGCAATTTTCATTTCTGGTGGCTGTTCATTAGTTGATCTACTTTTCACAAAATTCTTGGAACTTATACGAGCAGTCTTTCGGCTTACAGAAAAAAAAAGGGTTTCAAAATTAATTTTTAAGACGGAATTTTAAAATAAATTAAAAAGTACATTTTACTATTTGACTGAAAAAAATATTAGGATATTAGTTCAATTAAAAAATAAGCAAGTCATGAATGGCTCAAGTAATAAAGTTCAACATGTCCCCGCAGGGATGACTGCAAGAGTAGTTTTAAAACTGGAGAAAAAATGTCCCATATTTAATGCTGTGTAGCCACATCGGCAAAATGTAATACCTAATTAGACTCAGTATTTCAATACATCTAAGAATGTGTTTAACTCACTCCATTTCCCTTTTAGTAGTTCGCTGTAATACTGCCTTCCCTTCTTCTGGCTTTTGTTCATTAAGTTTTAGCTCAACTTCACATTGAGAAGTTTCCTCACCACAGTGGGGGCAGTAATGCTTCCCTCCTCTATAAAACATGCACTGTTTGTGAAAATTATGAACAGACGATTTGCCTTCTTTTCTGCACTGTTGGAATTTACCCTGAAAATACAAACAATGTGTAATAATTATTAAATAACTATCATATTTAATTTATCTCCAACATTGAAAAAGAAACTACAGTTTAAATGTTGATATCTTTTTAAAGATCTAAATAAAAACTATACTTTAAGGGAGATCAAAGTGCAGCCAAAATATTGATTAAACATCTACAGCCACTGAGTGCTTAAGACACAAAGGATACAAGACATAAAATAAAATTTAAAATTCCAATCAACATTGTTTATCTAAAAAATGGCAGCATTTATTTTTCATTAGGGAAGATCAGAGGCTAACTTTAAAACCTTTGAAAAATAAAGAATTGAAAATAAAAGACTGCTCACTTGTGAACAAAAATGACCACATCCTGGACAACACTGGTGTAATTTGAGACGCTTGCGATGTATTTCACACACTGCCATAAATGGAATCTTTACCCCTGGTCTGACCAACTGAGAATTGGTTACCTTGTTACAGCATCCCAAAACCTGTGGGAGAAGCAAGTGACAGATTTTTAGTGTTAGTCTTTATAACAGGCCTGCACAACATATGGCCCGCGGGCCAGCACCCACTTTGCGGCCTGCGAAGTAACGAAATATTCTTCATTCTTATTATTTAATTTATAGCTTTCCCCTGTCCTATTTTCTTTTGGTCTGCACAAGTCCTGTCCTATTTTCTTTTGGCCAGCAAAAGTTTATCATAAAGTATTACAGCCGGCCTTACATTTTGAGTTGTGCATGCCTGCTTTATATCATTAAAACCCGATACTCAGATGGTTAAACAAGATATCTTTATAGCTTAACTTTGAAATTATGCATTCTGTTTCATGGTTTTAACAAATTACATAATGGTAATCGACACTGAGGAATAGTCAAGGCAAAATAATTAGGAATAATCTTAGTTATGTGTTAACTGTTTATCAAACGTAGAATGTCTTTCATGGAAGAATATTGTATTTCACATAAATTAACTCCTTTCATTCCTCTTTTTTAAGGAGCGTATAATTATATACGTTGGTTATTTTCGCTAATAAAATATTGTCTTTTTTATTTTTGAAGTGTTCTATACCTATTTTATCATACATCATACATTTGGAAGAAAAATATATAAAAAAAATAATACTTTAAGATTTTAAATAATACGGAAATTGATTTTTTTGTGAGTTCGAGTTCATGCCATCTTAGGAAAATTTCTGCAAGACGCTTGTCAACTCGGCAGCCCAAAATTTTAAATAATGAATACTACTGACGAAAACATTGATCAAATTTTATCTGAAACATCTGGTAAAGATAGTTGGGAACCTGAATCTAGTGACTTTGATTCAGATTTTGATGAGAATCTCCCTTTATAGTCCATTATAGTCACTAAAAATATAAGGTTAGTAATCCAGTGTTTCGTCACTCCATATGTTTTTAATAGATTTTTTGCTTCTATTTTTATTTTATCAGTTTAAATTGTGTTTTTAATCATAATTGAAGTATTTACTACCCATTTTAAAATGAATCTACGCAAATAAAATCATTGTATAATTTGCGAATATTTTATTACATAAATAATGTTATTCTTAGAAACTGTTGCTAAGGAATATAAAATATGCAGTCGGCACTGATTATTATGATATATTTCATCCTAAAGGACATGAAATTTGACATCAATGTGTGTTGTAAAAAATTAATTATCTAACACTAATTTTTTTTTTTCATAATGATTTTTAGACATTATTTGAAGTATTAAAAACTGGAATTTTAATTAAGTATATATTTTATATTCATTGCATCCCTAATATTTGCATATAGGTCTAAAATATTAAATCTTCTTTTAAATTCACAGGCTAGACTTGTATGAGGTTCGAGATGATGACCCACTGACTCCCACTCCTAAGTTTCCCGCAGCCAGAAAGCCAGGCTGACGTGTGGGAAGAAATGTCATAATAACATGGATACAATCTGCATCCTATAGTCTAAGGATTTTCAAGATATCTTTCACACTGACTTTGGTTGAAACATTTGTAAAATACACCTATTAAACTACCATGGGACCTTCTAAACCTTCCATCAACTTTGGTTTGTTGATATTTCAACAATATACCACTTTTACACCGTTCTAGGACTACTAATGTGTATGTCAACTGTACAAATCCTCAGTGTACAAAAAAACTCGTCAACCGTAACAATGTTTCATTACTACCATGAATTGTGGGCTCATGCCTTATTCCCAAAAACAGATTAATTCAAATAAAACATTCTTCAAAGTTTCTAATATTGAAACAGACAATGAGGACAAACTGTGCAAAGTGAACTTGTCAGATTTTATCATCAGAAGTAAATAAAGATAAAAATCAAAGCAATGTGATATGATGTGATGGATAAGAGACAATAGAATTTATACTATGTTCAGTGGAGAGAAAATTAGACACGCCTCACTTATTTCAAATAATATGACAAAAAATGGATTTTCTTTTGTGAACAAAACCAAAACTGATGGTGTCTTTCTAGGCAATTATTGGGGAGAAAAACCAAATATTGTCAAATCAAATTTTGAAATCATACAATTCATTCCTGTGACCTGTGTGGTGTTGACCTGTTGATACACGAATAGATCATTCTAAGTGAAGAGAACAGCACTGGACTAACCCCTTTTTCCATTTTGTTGATAATGCCAGCTATTATCTCTTCGGGATTGTTCAAAAGAAAACTATGATATTGATGAACTAAGCTACCTGACATTTTATTCTCAATTGACTTCACCGAGGAAATTATTTTAGCATTAGATGATTTACTAAAAGTGATGATTTCCAAGTGCTACAAATGTAAATAACACCAAACACAATATAAATTAAATGCAATAATTCCTGATTGCATAGTTTCAAAAACCATTCTACATTGTGCTATAAATTAGGAATGCTAAGAAAATAAAATCATAAATCAAATATAGCGCATGGTAAATTTATCTTTGTTAAAAAAACATGAAACTTTCTGAATAACAGTTCCATGAAGTTTAAAATCTCTATTATTTTTTTAAAATCTTTAAGTAATTTTTAAAAGGTAAAATAATAATAACCAGTAATTTTTGTGAATACTTTATGGGGGGGGGAGATTTTTAATATTTTTAAAAATTATTTCCCCATTTTGACACTTTACAAAATAATTAACATTTTGGTCAAATGCTCATGAAATGTTCTAAATCATGCATATGATACAGGAAAATGTATTTGCTTTCTAAATAAACAAATTTTGTTAAATAATTTCATGTGGTTTGTTTTTTTCCTTCTTTGCATGTGATCACCAATCTTTTTTTTTTATACACATTTTCATTTTAAAAAAATAGCATTATTTTTTTCACAACTCCTAGGTATTGCCATTATGTATTTTAAAACAAATATTTTTAGAAACCTCATGCATTTCCCCACAATAATACATAAACATCATGAATGGTTAGACAAGGATTCTAAAAATTATTGACTCTTTTGTAAGGTCACTAGAAATCTCATGACAAACATGCAAAATTCAAGGAATGTAAAGAGTTAAGAGTATATTTTATTGTATATCCCAATGAGCTTACCTTGTTATCAACAGTGTCTAGTGCCTGGCAGTAAGTGACACCAGCAAAGAGTTTGTTGAATGAAGCACCATTTATTTTACAACAACATAGTGGTATCACTTCACTGTCTTCAACCTGACCAGCTACAGGCTAAATAAATTAAACAAGATAAAATTTCAGATTTTTTTTCCATCTGTATAGCTTATACAGACCTGTTTACCCCCGAACTCCTAAATTCGTACAATATTGCCTCAAAATCATACAATATTGTCTCAAAATCGTACAATACAGCACTGGTATCTTAAAAGTAAATAAATAAACATACCGTATACATAATGAATACAATAAGTTCTCACAACACGTCTCTAGTGGTATCGAGTTAAGCTGGCATAACAAAAGGTAACTTCTAAAAATAGATGACCAATGTTTGTGTTGCAATATGTGGTCACTTTGTTTTGTAGTGCTATAGGCTATTTGCACCTATTTCTATATGGGTTGCTGCAACTTCCTCACAGGGGCGTTGCGAAATATTACAAAATTTTAATAATTTTATTTCAACTTATAATCCATTATCTAGCGGTCATGGTGCTATCAGTAACCCACTTGAGTAACTACTGTTTCCAGTATCTAGATGGCGCTTAGTGACCCACATACATGCAATATATATGTATATATTTTTACCCAACCTTTTGTTTTGTTTATGTTTTCGTTACTTCCAAGAGTACTTGTTACAATTTAACATAGGGAGCCTGGTGAAAACCTGAATTTGGCACCTGGTGCCAGGAAATGAAAATTGTAGAAGCACTTAGCCCAACAAAATATGTGTCGCATGCACGTTTAACATATGGTGGACTATATATTACTGTAATACCTCTACTACTGAGCACCATCTGAGCATATCTTGCGAGTTCATATGTGAACATGGCAACATTATGATGATAATTCCTACAAAACATTGCATGATATTTTTACAGCATTTGAGATATAAATTTGCTATTTTTGGTCTTTCGTGATGAATATTGTAGAATTTTTAATAACATACCAGGTTTCTGCCGAGACCCACCCCCCAAATCATATGCAGGGGTATGCAAAGTCTCAAAAATGGACAACCCCACCCCTCAGTATGTAGGTGTACTAGATGGCTGGTTCCGAATTAGCCAAAATTTTCACTAGGGCGACTATGCTAATATTACTATTCCCATGTCTAGCGAGTTCATTATGAAAATACAAAGCAACATTAGGACTATCACCATTATCATTAAAAAAAATGTAGTGGTGTTAATTTTATAGATTTAAATATTTAACCCCCCACCCCCCACACAAAATGCCCTAAATCAAAACTGCTCTATTCCCCTCTCTGGGTAAACGTAATATAATTAAAGTTTAAATAATAGGTTGGTCCCTAACCAATCATTTTTCCTCTATCCATTCACTGCTGGATGTAGAATGCATATACAAGTTAAAATTAAAAGCCAAAAATGTACTTTTTAATTTTAAAAAAAAATTGGAAAACAACCAAGATGCATATATTTTCAACCTGGTCTCTTAAAATCGTAGTTCTGACAGGTCTTGGCATACAATCGTAAAAGAGATCTCAAAAGTCGTACATTGTCTGTCAAAATCTTAAGAGTAAACAGGCCTGCTTCTATATCATAAGTTCATGTTAGTTGAATGTCATAAATTCAGATTTTCATTATTTTTAAAGGTATTTAACCAAGGCTCACGTTTCACAAGTGATTAATGTATTTTTTTTTTCAATGCAAAAAACATAAACTCACCCTGCTTAATGATGCTGCCACTGCAACTTCTGAAGCACCATCTGTATCTGGAGTTTTAGGGGGAGTTAAACAAGACACTCCATTAGGAACATTGGATGGATGAGACTTAATTACAGAGTAACTGGACTTAACCCCAGGTGCTGCTGATTTAGGTTTGAGCATCTTAGTAGCCCCTGTAGATGAGGTCAGTGTTAAAGGCTGTGCTGTAATTGGTACAAGACTGGTCCCTGAAGATGTTACCATTTGAAATAAAACTGGTGCTTGACTTAGTTGTGAAGCAGCTGTTGTTGTGACTCGTGTGAAGGTATAAGGTTTTCCCACGAGCAGTGCCCGTAGAGAGTCTGAGTTGCCATGACCAGGACTTGCCTCAGATGACTTACTAGTTTTGGCTGGTGAGGATGTTGGTGATACTAAGGGAGAAGAGCCTGGAGTGCTTTTGATAGTTTTTGCTAATGAAGTGCTATTTTGCTGCTTCTGTGTAGTTACAATAAGACTGGCACCTGGGAAGGAGACAGGTATGGTTGAGACGGATGTACCTACACTGGGGACAGGGGCAAAAAACGTCATTGTTTGTGTGGTGCCCTGGGGGAGCGACGTGATGGGTAAAGCTGTCATACCAGGTGGTAAGTTGCCCAGACTAATTGCCTTGGCTCCAACAGGAAGGGTAGAGATAAGTGGGAAGGTACCTAGCACACTTCCTGGTGGAGGGTGCAAGACTTTGCCTGACGATGCAGCCCCTGCTTGAACAAAAGCATGTCGCGGAAGTAAGGACCGCAGTCCCGGTGCAACGGAGTGCTGGGCAACAACCATAACCACTGGGGCTTGAGTAGTACCTGGACTTAGCTTGGATTTGGTCTGTGTTGAGTAGGTCTGAATGGATGAAGTTGATGATGGCGTTTTTGTTATAGAGTCTGTTGAATCTCTTTTTCGTTTTCCTGAAATAAAAAGATGCACATATAAAATTAAGTTTATATAAGCACTGTCTTTCTATAAATATAAAAACATTTTAATTACTAACTACTGAAGTTATCAATTTACCACAAAAGACTGTAACCCATTTAATAATGCTAAGAAATTACCAAAAATAAAATTTATTTATGTCCACACACATGGACATCAGATTTAACACTGATATTAAAGATATGATGGCTACTTGAAAATTTTAAGTTAAACTGACTGTGGAAAAAATTTCATTATTGTAATATTACAGATTTGACGAATAGGTTATTTTTACTTTTTTTAAAACTAAAAAATAAACAAAATTTCTTAAATCTCAAACGGTAAATCAAATTTTAGGAGTACAAATAAGTACACTAAGAAAAAAGTTATAAAAAGCAGTCTAAGAAAAGCAATAAAAATTTAGGCAAAGTAACTAAAAAAAGAATGATAAAGATGAAAATACCACCAAAAAAATAACATAACAGTAAATGTTACAACAACAACAACAAAAAAACAGAAAGAAATCAGTTAAACTAGTTAAGGCATCAAGGAGAAAAAGCCTGGCCCATCTGTTTATACCAGAACATAAATATTGACTATAAAAAGATTGAAAAGCGGGTGTTTATACAAGTTTAGAATCTATATTCACTCAAACACTCTTTATGTTTAGTGTATCTGAAATGCTATAAATATTAGTAACTAAAGTAAGAAATGCCACTGTTATAGGACAAATTTAAATATTTCTTTACAATTGATTAATTCAAGTCAATCAATAGACAAGAATGAGTTGTTTTTAAAAAAAATACTTATACATTAATTATAAATTACAACAAAATACTTAGGCATTCAATCCCAATAAATAGTGCCTGGATATTTTTTAAAAAGTATATGTTTTTAAAAAGATGTTTTGTTTAACAAACTGCTACATAAATATTTGTTCTTAACTTGGCTCCATATTTATTTAAAGCTCTATAAATTCTGCTAGCTCTGCATTGCTAAACAAAACTAAGGAACTATTTTGTTCTTGTCCAGTGAAACAAAATAAACCTACAATAGCACATGAAAAACACTAGTATTCTAAAATCACAAAACTTCTATGAACAATACAAGTCAGTTAAACACCTTTACAGGTGTTCACTTATATATATATATATATATATATATATATATATATATATATATATATATAGGTAAAGCTTTGATCTGCTGTGTAAATTAGTATTTTCTATTGACCTTCAAGGGATTATATTCATATAAGTTACTGTATGCTTTTCTTAAAAGCCTGTAATGCGGCAATAACAAAAGCTATTAAAGTTAAATGTTTGTTTTTTTTTTAAAAGGAATTTTAATTCATGGGATGTAAAAGCAAATATTGAACTACTTAATTTACACAATATATAATTTAAAATTTATTTTTAATCCAATAATTGATAGTGATTATTAACTATATTCAATTGCAACAAATATATTTATAAGATTCAATGTGTAGTATTATGCATACCAATGATTATGAATCAAGTATGATAACTACAGATAATGCTATTAAAAAAAAAATTTAAGGATATAAATATTTGACAATTATAGTGTTTTTCATGTTAATATCCAAACATTAATAAACCTTTAGAGTAGCATGCCAAGATTATTGAGTTAGTTGGCCGATTGTTACCTTCTAAAGAATTTTTCTTTTCACCACTGTCCTCTGAATCAGATAGACAAATTACCTCCTCTATAACAAATAAAAAGCAATTGTTCCCAATCATCAAAGGCGATAACTGTTTAATACTACAATTCAAATACCTAACAAACTAGCTCAACTTAATATATGAAACTTAAAAATTTCAGTTCTATCAAGACTAAAATATTGATAGCCATCTTTTGAAAGTATTGAAGATTCAGATATAGTCTAACTTCCAATGCATATCTTCTATAGAAATTTCATTGTCTAACCAATGTATTAAAAAAACTCAATCATCTGTTTGGACAATAAATTGTTTACAATATTATATTCAAATACACAATAATTAAATAATCAAGCAACAACAACAACGAAAAGACATTAATTCCAAAATATCAGCCAAGAAGACTAAATAGGTCAGTACCTCGTCGCTTCCTTGGTGTGCCTTTTCTTTTCACCCCTAAGTAAAAATATATTAAGTGTTTAAAAAAAATAGCAATGATAAAATTTATACCTGAGATAATACCATTTATGTTTTATTAATTAAAGCTGTAAAATTAAATTAGTGCTAAATATCTGAACTTTAAAAGTACAAGAATTTAACATAAAAGAATTCAGATTTTTTTAATAGCACCATTTGTTGGTGCAAAGGTGATAAGGTTTATGCACACACAAAAATGAGCAAATAATATTTTGTATAGATCTGGATGAAAAGAAAGTTAATAATTTAACATTTTAAAAATAATTTTGTAATAACCTTTAAGTATGCCATATATTAATAGAAGTGTTGTGGGCTGTGACCTAGTCAAAGCAGTAGTAATGAATGAGCATTACATGTGTATTTTGTAAAATATATTAAAATTAACAGTACCAAAGTGGTGAAATAATAAATCTGAAATTGATTTTAAATATGGTTTTGTGTGTTCTTTTTGGCTGCAAGCAAGAAGGGAACAACAATGTACAAAATTTTGTTAACACTATTAATGAATTTTTAAATTATCTCTGTTGGCAAAGTAAGAAGTCACATCAAGCACTGAATAAAACAGATTTGTCATTTAATCCCTACCTTCTAAAATGGGCTTATTAGGTGGAGGTGAAACCAACTGGAAAAAAAAAAAGAAAAAATATAAATTAAAAAGAAACGTGTACATTTTAACACTTGACTATGTGATAAGTAAGAAATGTATACTGGTACTGAAAATAAATAGGGACACTTGTCAATGGTATTACTAACAACAGTTTATTCATTTCTAATGTAACCTTTAACAGTTTTCAGTGCTTTTCTTCCTAAAACTAAATTCAACAAACATATTCTGATGGGTTTAGTATGACTTAAAAAATAGCCCTAAAAACACATATAATATTTATGATTATAATAATTATAAAGCTCTAGTGAGAAAAATCAAAATCTTACAATGGTGGTGGTTGTAGTAGTAGCACTTGTTGTAACACTAACTGTGGTGGTTACTGACTTCTCATCAGACTCAGCCTTCTGCCTACTTCTTTCATGAAGCATTTCAAGAACAGTTTTCATTTTATTGCTTTTTCCAAATGTTGCTTTAGAAGTTGATAATGTAGTTGATGATGATGATGATGGTGAGGTGGAAGATTTAGGCTTTTTGGCAAACCCCAAATAGGCATTTTTTGTTAAGATATCCAAAGCAGATTCTGTTTTATTAATTGGAGTTTTGGCATTGGTTTCCTGATCAACTGGTGCAGCGTCCTTGTTTATGTCTGTATCTGGAAAATCCCCATCTGACAATGAGAAGCTGTCAGCTGAAGAACCTACACTTTCTAATTCATCAGATTTGAACTTCTTCTGTTTTTTCTTGCAGCCAGGAAAATCATATGTGTTTTTCCTACGCTTCTTTTTTAAACCAGCCAAAGCTTTTAAGGCACTGAATCCTGAACTGCCATCAGATTGTGATGATTCGGTATTCACATTGTTTGTTTTAGATACTGTATCAGTAATTTTACTTAGTTTAAAGCCATCAGCGTCACGAGTTGGGTAATCTAAGGCTTTTTCCACATCAGATATGGTCATCGTAATGTTTTTAATTGGATGTAAATTTATTTTTAATGGTGCTGATTCTGGTCTCCCTGATTTTCTAGCAGTGACCTTTGGTTTTTTAATGTGAACACCATCAGTCAGCCCATTCACTGCTTTTGAGTCAGACGAATGTAGAATTGTATAAATGTTCCCTTCATGTGAGCTATTTTCTGATTTACCTTGTATCACAGTATTTGCAGACCTAGGAGTCTCTGAAATGACATTTGCTTCAATGATGCTTTGATTTGGGCTAATTGACAATGATTTAACAAAGCCTACAGAATTGTCCCCTTGAGGATTAGCTGAATCTTTAGGTTGAAAGCTTTTAGTAATTAAATCAACAGCATTTTTATTTACTTCCATACACTTGAGTGATTCTGCTTTCTCTTTTTCGCCAATCTTAGACAAATCTGCTGGGTCTATCAAGTCATCAAGCTCTAGCTCAATATTTTCAAACGATTCTTCATTTTCAGAATCTTCATCATCTGTTATATCCTCAAACATTTGAGGTGGTATTGTATGAGATTTTTCTGTCACAGAATCACTTGCTGCCAAATCAGTTAAACCTTTTTCATCTTTAAAATCAGTCACATCCTGGTCAGCTTTCAGATCTTTTGGAGTTACATCAACCTTTGAAACATGTATATCCTCATCAGCATTTGTCACAATTTCTTTAGTCTTAGCTGGTATTACGGAGCACCCTAAGTCTTCATCCACCACAGAAGGCTTCAGTATAACCTCCTTATCAAAGGTTGTACAGTTTTTAGCCTCATTAACAAGCTTGATGGAATCATCGATACTCACATTATTGCAAGTTTTAACAGTGCCAAGAAATGTCTCGCCAGGGACATGTTCTGCATTTGACAATTTTATATCTGGCTTATTTATGTGTCCATCATCACCCCTACCTTTATCCGAGTCATTATCAGCTTTCTGTGTACTAACACATGAAGATTTTGGTTCACTTTGAACATCAGCTTTTAAATTATTACCTTCCTGGTTTTCTGACTTATCTATTGACATTGTTAAACTCATTTCTCCTGCAAATGTATCTGCCCCATTTTCAGAATTGTCAGCAGTATTGTTCACGGC